CAGCCTCCTCCTGAACTTGAGCCCTACAGGGGTTACAGCAGCAGCGCGGCACACACCAGCCTGTCGCCAGCAGCTGTCACACAGGGGACAGTTCTGACAGGCTGGCATCCTCACTCACATCATCACCACCACACAGGCCCCCGGAGGCCCCAGAGCGCGACACCCTGGCCTCTGTAACCGTGACGGGAACAGGAACTGGAGAGATGACCGTGGGCACGTGTGGGCAGCGTGTCACACATCATGCTGCTGGATCTGAACATTTGCCATCAGGTTTCCCTCTTACTCACAAGTTGATTATTTTAGGTCACTTGTGAAATACAGTAGCTGTAAGGTCAAGTCCAACATGTTTAAGAGCTGGAAGTTATTTCAGGTGAATGCTGGCATTACGTTCCTAAATGGATTCCAGCACCAGGACTGGGAACCCCGGATGAAAACTACTGACTGGACTCCAGTATGTCCACAAGCCAGCAGCCCTCTGTACTCGAGTAGATCACGCTTACCCAGAAAGTTAAGTCAGCCAGGCTGTCTCAAAGTGCTGGTGCATTAGGACCTTCGCGTTGGCTTCATTAGAAGAGACTGCAGCGAGGAAGACCCGGGACGGATCAAACTGCTGTCCGATCGGATTCCGTCGCGACAGCAGTAGCGGGCACTGACCCCTCGCTCCCCCAAGTGCGAGATACCAGCACGCCCGCTGCCCCCGGCTCACACAGTCCCGCACAGCCGGCCGGGCGGAGTAAAGAAGCAGGAGTCACAGATCAGGAGCGGAGATGTCTTACACTAGGTCACGGCCGAAATTAAAGCCATACTCCCGGCCTGAGCAGCGCTCACAGACGGTGAGAAAGACAGAGGAAGCAATTATGTAAGTGTTCAGACCGAAGAGGAACACCATAGACAGCGACACAGAAGTCAAGTCCAATGCCCGCTTCCAACACCGCAGTGGGGTCCGGTGTCAGTTCGGCGGGTCGGTGCCGCCCGGACCCTCTGCCGTCACCCCAGGGGTCCGCCGCGGCCTTTAACGGGGAGCCAGACCGCCCCTCCCCCCGCCTGCCACAACAACAAAGCGCTTCCTGGCCCTCCCCGGGGTCCCCGGTCCTCTGCCCGTCTCCCGACACCACCAGCACCGCGACACGTCCAAACAAACACCGCAACTCACCCCCAGAATCCGCAGGGGCAGCGTGGCGGGAGGCTGGGCGGTTTGCTGCGTTCGCTGCCCGTGTCCCCCATGGCTCCAGACGGCAGGGCGGGGTGGAAGAGACCGAGGATGGAACAGAGGCCTGGCGGCAGTAGGCGGCTTCTCGGCGGTCTGCGGGTAGGGAGAGTCGGCACAGCCGGGCAGCCTGCAGTCCACAGGGTTTAGCGGGGTCGAGGGCGTCGCCGACACGAGCGGCCGCTTCCACCCAGCCGGGGAAAACAGTATAAAAAGAGGGCGAACTCGGCCACGGAGAGCCCGAGGATCCGCACCGGGCACCAAGGCCGATCAGCTGGAGGGAGGACGTCACCAACGGCTGAAGAGGGGAGACCAGTAGCCCCGTCCACTGACAACTTCAAAAACAAGGAAAGAAGTTACAAAATTACCGCTTATTATTTCAAATAGAACTAAATTTAGTACTTAAGGTATTAATTTTTGTGTTATTGCTTATTCTTACCGGTGTTACGTTGTTTTAAAAGCTTATTTCCTCCTTTGAGCATGAAGTGGAATCGTCCAACAGATTCCGCTTGTTTGAGACCAAATAAATCAGGTTATGAAACTGAGCCCCTTTCAGTCGCCATGTTGGCTCAAGCTGCTCTGTGGTTTAACACTCAGCTGACTCCATGTCGGAATCAAAATGGCGTCAGTTTCCAAACCCGGCCACTTCTGGGTCTCTCGAGAGCAAGCTGAAATCAGCAGGACCGGGACACGTTCATTTTCATTAAGATAGAGGGGGATGGAGTAAGCAAAACCCGAAATAAATACTTTTTTATGCACAGACTAACCTAATCTCGTCTTTATTTCCAAATTACCTGACTTGTTATATTTCTGTATAATATACTACTGCTACGCTGAATTTGATGACGTAACGGTGTAAGAGAGATGGGTGATCACCCCCCCCCGACTCCTGACGGTATTGGGGGCCCAGTCTTTGACCACAACAACCCGAGTATAACCTGCGGGGCGGGTTAGTGCACCAGGCTCGTTGTGTCCCTTGTCGCGGGATCAGCAGGCTGCGACGATCTTTACAGATATGTTACAAAGCAAGAAATGATGTATAAGCAATGATGGGTAAAACACTTTAACTCCTAGGAGGAATGTGGGCTCGGGAGTCCCGATGTGGTCGGTGCGCCCCCTGCCCCCTCTGCTCAACAGGCAGGGAGGGGTGAGAGGCAGCAGGGCTGACCACTGCGTCGCCATGCTGTTCACACATCAACCGTCCTAGTTAAACAGATCAGAGTCTCGCAGACAGAGGACCAGGAATCAGAAGCACAGGCGGGAGGATAGGCAGACAGACTGCCCGTGCCCAGGAGGTAACGGTGAGAGAGTGTCGAATCTGTGAAAGATAACTATGAAAGCACTCTGAATTGTTGTAGCTTCCTATTAAAAACCAACATTAACAGAGAAGTAACATAACTGCTGCAGAGCAGTCACTCACACCGTGTGATAAAAAAGTTGAGGAGAAACATGGCTGAAGTTTGCTTTTCCCATGCAGCCCTACTGTGGTAGAACTGCTCCTGGGCCCTGCTGTCTGGAGACTTCAGGGGCTGGGAGAGGAGGAGAGGGAGACGGGAGAACGAGGACTCGTCTCCCATCAAAGAGTCACCACGGCCCCTCAGCAGCCCAAATCAAGCCCCAGGCCAGCAGGGGCCTTCTGGGACAG